ATTATTTATTTATATAGTATTTGATGGTTTTTAAAGCACATTTAAAATTTTCATTTGATTTGCATACAGCTGTGTGAAATGTTTAAGTGACAGATCATTTGTGGTGGAAATTTTTACATGGTGCCATATTTTAACCAAAGGCTTATAGAGGTGCATCAGTGAATAGTTGACTTTCAAAGACTTGTCTTATGTGAGAATCACTAGATAAAATAACAAACCAGAAGAACAAGTTTATGTGAAAGTCATTTTCTGAGTGAGGTGAGGCCTTTGTTTTCCAGTTTCCCCTTTACCATTTTAGTTGGTTATCTTATTAGTATAGCAATGTGGGGGGAAAAGGAGAGGAAGAGTCACCCTGAATATCTAAGTATTTGTGCTCTAATATGAGCTCCACTGAGGTGTGGTCTGACTAAAAAGACATACCTCCTTAACTCAAATTTTCCCCATTTATAAGGAAAAGTCTTGCTACTTAACTTTTTTTCCTCTAGGGAAATAATGACAGCTAAATATCTGTAAAGTATACATGAGATTTTCTGGGCAAAGGAAAAAATTATGTATAATTTACTATTTTCAGTGTCTTAAAAATTTTTGAATTTATATTACACCCTTCCTAGTAGCTCCTGGAATGTAGCCAGATGAAAGAGGTGTTGTTACCTAAATTTACCATCGGAATTAATTTCCATAAGGCCACAGAGTTAGTTGATAATGGAACACAAGATTAAGCTAAATCCAAGAATTAGATTAGGATTTTAAAACTCAAGAGCTAACTATGATTTGGTCCTTGTACATTTGGAACATCTACTCCAAGCTCTGGTCACTACAGTTAAAACTGATATGGTAATAAAATGTACAACAAAAGGTTGTTTTCTTTTGGTGATGTGATTAAAGGAAGAGGTCAGCTTTGAAGAAAATTCAGGTTTCATTTGTAACAGGTAGGAGAAAATTAAAGATATAACCAGGAAGTGAAGTGAGAATGAACACATTTTATGGTATAGAAACAAGGGCTTTAGCCCCATCTTTGCTAATCACCAATAAATGGGTTGGCTCCTTCTGAATGTTTGTCTACTTCAACATGGTCTATGTATCATAACATTAAACTATTAGAGGACCAGAACCAGAATCTATTCCTTTATTCAACTTGCTGCTGGTGATATCCAGGGGGACACCAGCCCTAGGCAAATGACTGCCTAGAAGGTGTTTTATCTAACAGCACTTCTCTGGGATTCAGTAAAATTAAAAATGTTTTTGTCCTTTTATATTTCTTTCTCTCTCTCTCCCCCCTCCCTTCCCCCACCCCCATTTGTCTTTTATTACCAAACTTTACTCAAGTTGCAAACAATTGTTTTAATTCAACACAGCTGTCAGCTCCTCGCTCCTATCCCCCTTGTGAAGTAGGGTATTCCTTCTCTAGGGACCTTTGCTGCCCCATAACTGAGATCCAGGGAAGGAGAAGGACAGACTCATGAAGGAAGTGTGTGGGACGGAGCAGTTGGGGTGACTGTGGGGATACCTGCTCAATCTCCCCCTCACCTCTCACCTGACACTTACTTTCAGCCCCTCCCACATGAACAGGCACATGCACACCCTGCTCAGTGGGGAGCCTGCTTCTCTCTCTCCCTCTGCCCCTCCCCATCACTCATATTCTCTCTCTCTCTTTCTCTCTCTCTCTGTCTCAAATAAATAAAATCTTTTTAAAATTTTTTAAAAATAAAAATTATCTGCTCTAAATTATTTTTACCAAATAAAAACAAGCAGCTGCTAGGGTGTCATGAAGTTATATGAGCAATAAGAACTTGAAAAAAGTCAGGCACGTAAAATTCTTAAAAAGGAAGAAAAAGAAAAAAGTCAGGCAAAAAGAAGGAGTATAGTGAGTAAAGACTTTCGTTGAGTATAATACATGATTTATAGTAAGCATTATGCAAAGAATTGTATTTTTTAAAAAAAGCAGGGAAGAATATTTTGAGAAAATAACCTACACCTTTTCTAAAATACCTAATCTGGAACATTTCTAATCATAACTTTTAAAATACAAGGAAGACATAACTGTGTTTGGTTAAGCTATACTATATATAGATACATATATATATTTTATATATTGTTTCATATCTTATAGGTTTATATTTTATATATTCGTATTTATGTAATCTTTCCATTATTTTCACACCTTAAAAGGTAGATTTTGAATATTGGAACATCTGCTGTGGTTCCAAAGAAATATTCCTAAAACCTGATGTCTGGGGAAATAACATGGCGCCCTGCCTCTGTGGGATGAGCCCCAAAGGTGCCATTATTGCCTAATTGTTACCAATCAGACAGCACATTTCTAGGAGTCTTTGAAGTACAAAGCCGAGCGAAGATATTGAAAAGTCCAAAGAAATTTAAGTTAGAGTCCCGGTCTTTCAGGATCTAAGAATTGAGCTAATAAGGAAGTGAGACAGGTTGCAAATTACCTTACAATCAAAGGTGCTTGGGCAGGCTCTGCTCTTTACCACCTCAGCATTCTCTTCATTGAATTCTTCACAAGTATTCATTAACCAAATATGGATTGAGTGAATAAATATTTATTTGCTGACCACACATCTATCCCCATGTGCTTCTTAGGGGTTCCAAGGTGAATCCGATGTGAATCCTGCCCATACAGAGTCTAACAGGAGACATGAGACCTCTAAAGTTAATTGTAATTGGGGAAATGAAAAGAGCCATGAAAAAGGCACAGATAAAATACTCTAAGACTCAGAGAAGAAATAACTGATTTCTACTTGAAGAAAACAGGAATGTCATCTTTCTTAGAGCTTGAAGTATGTAAGATTTGGATATAGAAAGATGGAGGAAAATGTCTTTCCAGTTAGAAGCAAATATGCTTGTGTGGAAAGGTGTGAGTTATACGGTGGATACAACAAGCTTGACTAGAACAAGATACATGAAGGGGCTTCATGGGGGAAACATTTGCAAAAATATTTTGAGGGCTAACTGAGGAAATACGACATTTGCCTTTAGAGAGTGCATTTTATGTTTTATAGGTGCCAGGAAGCCATTTGGAGTTTCTAAGAAGGAAAATGACATGTTCAGAGCTATGTCTCAGGAACATTAAACCTGAAAGCTCTGTGAGGTCTAACCGTCCCCTGTATAACTCAGAGTCATTATATCCAAAACTTTCTCGTATCTACCGAAAGCCTGTATCAATGAATCAGCTTAAAGCAAAGGCTACAGTTTTATGTTTTGGTTTTTCTTAGGTGGATCTGGTCACGAGTGTTAGATTCTAAGTGCTTGTCTCCAAATCTAGACCCTATTCTGTTTCCTTGTGTCCATTTTTTTTTTTTTTTGGTAGGGGAGGGGCCGAGGGAGCAGGAGAGAGAGAATCTTAAGCAGGCTCCACACACAGCACAGAGCCAGTTGCAGGGCTCCGTCTCACAACCCTGAGATCAGGACGGGAGGCAAAATCAAGAGTCAGACAGTTAACCGACTGAGCCACCCAGGCGCCCCTCCTTGTGTCCATTTTGAACCCAGGTCCTGAAATTTTCCCTGGATATTCAATTTTTTTTCCTATGAGGACTTAGAATTTTCTATTTTCAATACCACTAACAGTTAACCCTTTTCTCAAGCAAACGTTGTGATCTTAAAAACATCCCAAATCATGTAACTGATCATGTTTCCCTTTTTGTGTTGGCAACTTGATAAATAATTTAGAGCCAGATTTGTATCCTACTTAAAAAATGTACAGAACTGTATAGCAGGCATTTTGTCCACTCACTTTGGATCTGGCTTTATCTTATCTTTCCCACTTTATTTTCTTGTATTCTCTCTTTCTTCCTTTCTGTCTGTGTTTAATTTTCTTTTATCTTGTTATATTTTTTAAATTTATGCTGTCTTGAATAAGTTGGTAGAGATACATACTTCCACTACTTCTTACATCCTGTAAGCCCAAGTCCCTAGAGGTAGCATGCACCTCCAAGTGAATCCTCGGATTTTGCCTCTGTTTGTGGACTGCTGCAGAATTTAAATTTCTGGCCGCCCACCTCCTCTCACTCAGGATCTGCATTTGTTCTCTTCCATAAAATTTTAGATTGAATCTAGCTTTCATTATCTGGATTTATTTTATAGGGAGACCTCCTGATTATGTAGTCAGATCAAAAGAGGTCCCAGCAGACCCAACACATTGCGCTGAAATCACCTGGATAGACAGTTGAAAAGGGCATGGATCTTTGCATGATGTCTTGTTCATCATGAGTTCTCGACAAGTACTTGTCAAATGAATGAGTGAACTTAGAGAAAGCCACCATAGTACTAATCATTTTTGAAACCTTAAAGGGAAGTTTTTTCTCACTGTTTAAGAATAAGAATCTTTTTAAAAAAGATACAGTTATTGGGGCGCCTGGGTGGCCCAGTCGTTAAGCGTCTACCTTCAGCTCAGGTCATGATCCCGGGGTCCTGGGATCGAGCCCCACATCGGGCTCCCTGCTCAGCGGGGATCCTGCTTCTCCCTCTCCCTCTGCCTGCCGCTCCCCCTGCTTGTACTCTCTCTCTCTCTCTGTCAAAATAAATAAAATTAAAAAAAAAAAGATGTATTATTTATTTGAGAGAGAGAGAGACCATGTGCACGCGTTAAGTGAGGGGAGGGGCAGAGGGAGAGCAAGAATCCTCAAGCAGACTCCCCGCTGAGCACAGAGTTCGATGTGGGGCTAAGAGTCGGCTGCTTAACCGACTGAGCCACCCAGGCGCCCCAAGAAGAAAAATCTTAAATTCAACATATTTAAATACATGACAATGGCAATAGATCTTAAAATCGTTCCCTCTACAAGAACAATCGTAATATACATGATGCTTAACCGTTGCACGGTACTTTTCACTTGTTGACTTAGCATAGCTTTTTAACATAGGGGCTTGATAAATGTTTGTGGGCTGAGTGACTCAGTGGGCGAATAAACGAACGAAGGAGTGCATTTCACTGAATCCTTAGATTAAACTAATACCTAGATGGGACAGTGTTATTTCCCACATCACAAATGGGAAAACTGGAGGCTCACGATGGTAATGCGTGACAGAGTTAGAAATTAAATTTGATATCAACTGCTACCATACATTGCTCTCTCCTCTAGTTAGTATAATATCCAATACATAATTTATATATCATATGTATAGTGTAATTCTGTCCTTTCATGGAGCCAGGCTTAAAAACATGGAGTCATTTGACATTTCCCTCTACTTCTTTTTAGACACAATCTTAATACTTTTCACTTTGAAATGTTTCTCTCTTTTCTTTGTTCCCATTGCATTGACACCAACCTAGTTAAGGCCCTCCACTTATGGTAAAATAAATATATATATTATGTATATATTTTATATATAACATTTATATATTATTCGTGTATGTATATATTATATATAACATTTATATATTATATATTATGTATATGTCTATATTGTGTCTATATTATATATATATTTATGTATATATTATATATATTTATAAAAACAGCTTTGAAATGCTCCTTAAATACATCCATAGAGATTCTAATCATATACACTAATGCTGGGGAAGAAAAAACGAATTAATTATATGATACCTGAATAATAAATCTTCTTTGAGTCTTAAACTATTTCTTTTTGCTAACACCATTAAAATTGTATGGGTAGATTAGCCCTCTCGTTACCTCGAGTTAAACTGAAAGAGTACTTTCAGTTTAACTGAGATGTAGATACTCTTTTAATTTTTCATGAGCACTAAAGCAATGGACCACGCAACCTTTCTATAGTTTCTAGTGTAAGGATTCTCAAGAACAGAGACTGTGCAAGAAAGTAACTTTATTTCATATATTTAGGTGTTGTCTCTGTCCCTCATTTCAAGAGTAAGAAATTATTAGTTAAGTGATATTATATGGATTGTTAGAGACCATTAGAAATATGCAGTAATTACTGGTATTATGTACTATGGGAGGGGTTATTTTAATTATTGTAGCCTGTAAAGAAACCTCTTTACAGATAATATATGTTCAAGCTATTACATATCAAGTATTCATTTCATGCAATCAGAATTACAGTGTTAGACTCTATTTGGTATAACAATTACTGCTGGAGTTCACACTGCAGATGAAAGATAGTCCCTGTGTTTCCTATTCTCTTTTAATACATGCATTTATATTAATAGCATGATTTAATACATCACTTGAAAATTATATTGCACTTTGAACTGCGTTTAGTCAAAAATGGACATTTTCTACGTGTGGAACCATAATAAGTTTAGCGTTAAACTAGGGAGTCATCTGTTTGTTAAAATGTGGTATTTGTGAATTCTGGCATGTCCAAAGGCAGGTAATGAGATTGAAAAGTCAGTCTCATGTTACATTGATTTGTACATTTTAACTTACAACTTATTAAGTTTTAGGGAATTTTTCCGTAGTTATAACCTAGCATCATGTTTCTATTTTGAAGTTGCTGGATCCCTTGCGATTGTTGTTTAGAACAAAATATTTGTACCACTGACACAATGGCATGAGTCACTCTGGCCACCTATGACTTACTCCAAAATGTAGTTATACTGCATACTGTGAAATTGGAAAATCTGTTCTGTGTGTGTTCTAATGGATGTAACGGTCATTAAGTATATGAGTCTTCTGACGTCGTAATCAGATGTGATTCAGTCTGTTAAATATCCATGAAACAACATCTGCTTCACAGAGTGACCTTCTGCTAAAGAATACTTAGTGTCTATTAGTGGATCATAATGCAGATCTGCCTTATTTGAAATGCACTAAACTAGAGTAGTCTACTGCTGTTTAGCAACTAGCTTGTAATAATTTATTGCAGTTAAATAAAGCTTAAGAAAACTCCATTAAATAATTATAGGGATTGTATGCATTTCGAAAACCTTTGTGTTCAACCGAAATTACCCATTTAATTTCAGGGTTGGTTTGTTAAAAAAAAAAGCTGAAGTCTAAAGGCACATGAGGGAAGCTGTCAGATACTGTTTTCTGTAGGTGTTAATACAACCAGTTGGAAAAAAATCTGAAACAAATTAAAAGCAAAACCAATTTTACCATCTGTTGTATATTAATTAGTACTTCGTGTATCAAGGGTAAACTTGCTCTTAGAGAATGTCACTGAACACCCGCTTAATGGAATAATATGCAGATTTATTAGGTTATGGATTTAAATGCAGGTTTTAATTCTAATTCACCTGCAGTGGATCCCCCAAGAAATTGGTGGTGTGTGTAGCTACGTATGTACATACACACGTATCAGTGTACGTAATGAGTTTCCTTTTCTTTTTTCAGAGCAACCTGCAAGCAACCAAGGCCAGCCCACTCTGCAGCCTTTGCCGCCACCCCATAAACAGCACCCCGCACAACACCATCCGTCCATCACTTCTCTCAACAGAAACTCCCTGACCAATAGGAGGAACCAGAGTCCGGCCCCGCCGGCTGCTTTGCCCGCCGAGCTGCAAACCACACCCGAGTCCGTCCAGCTGCAGGACAGCTGGGTCCTTGGCAGTAATGTACCACTGGAAAGCAGGTAACTCCTCTGTGGGAGACTCTCAGATCATCTGCTTGCTAGAGCTGCACGATGGATCTGCTTGGAGAATGGGTATCCTAGCATAGTCAACAAACCGTGTTGTTTCAGCGTCGAACATTTAAAGATACACTAGTCTCGCCCTTTTCT